CTATCAAGCGGCATCAACAACACCTACACAGAATGTACACATATAGTCTACTTCTATTCTGATTAGTTATGTTCAGAAGCTTTGAGGAGAACTGACTATGGTAGATTCTAGTCCTACTCTAGGCTGTCTGTTAGGTGTCAACAGTCTGTCAACCAACTAGTCAACAATAAAAATAGACTATTGTGAGCAGATGTATGCACAATGGGTAAAGTAGTGATGTTCAGTTGTTCTAAATTGGAATCCCCTTCCCTTGTATCCAACATACCTATGAGCATCATCAAGCGACAGTGTCTAAGGTGTGCAACCACGGCCCACCCCTGTGCCCAAAAAGTATGCTTATGACCAGTCCTGCCATTTGTTTACCCTCGCGTGCAACGAGCCTTACGTCTGACTGATCTGGCTGATCAAGAGGCAATTTAAGGACAGCCCCTGAGAGTCCTCAGGAATTCTTTAACCTCGCAATCAGGACGACGATCACAGCCAGTGGACAGTTCAGACCCCAACCAAAAATGTTTATAGATGGTCTGGGAGCGTCTACGTAGGACTGGTCAGTCCGCACACCCCTTCTATCAGCGCAGCAAAGAGCCTCAATGGACAAAGCAACATGGCCTGCGTGTACTACTACCCATGGGTTGGCATGGTGACCGTGACCCATGCTTCGACCAGGGCCCTTCAGAGGCACCGTCCTCTCCTGCCAGATGCGCCACCGGGAAGAATGTCGTCTCTCAAGGTAGAGCGCACACGACTCCTCACCAAAGAGAGGACACTCAAGTTGGACTCACTTCCTCACGGTAAGAAGAGATCGAGAGGGTAGATAAGGAATGGGAACAACGTACCTGGAGATAGCTGCCCCCAACCACAGATTTCTCACCAATTGGGCCGACGTGCATTTCGATGACCGGTCATTAGCCTCGGTTGCATTGCCACCTCAGTCAAAATGCCATGTCGGCATACTCTCATCATCATACATACACCCGCTGTCGCCACAGCGTTCTAGCGGCCGGCCCCTCCACCTGGGCCCCGCTTAATCAAACCAGCGCCGAAGTATCCTTACTGCACATGAAGCATCGTCAGCGCACCAAGCAACAATGTCGCCGGTGCCAGGTAAGCGGTGATCATGAACCAGCTCCGATACCAAATTGCAAAGAATATGAGTGTGAACGATATACAGAAAATCAATGTTGCGAAATCACACAGATGTCCAGGTAGTCGTATCCAAGCAGAGAGTACAAAATGCACCGAGAAACCATCCATATAGAGCAATACAATGACGTAATGAGCCAATGTTCAAGCCCGTAGGCCACACCAACACAGTATCCAAAGTCGCTCTTCTCTGTCTGGCGCCCAGGGCCCAGCCTACTCTACCCGACTATCCTATCTACAGGCCCGCTTCGACACTCAAAGACCAATTTACATGACTGTCAACCATAGCCGACCTCTCTTCATGCACCAGGTACATATCTCGTCACCCTCAATCAGACCTTGATAACCCCACTCTGCCCCTCCTTCCCTGAAGACCACCAGATCGCCCGCTATACCCCCTGGCGCTCAGCAGCCCGGCTATGGCTGCCTGCGCCCCGCTGCCCTGCAGCGCCCCACCTCACCACTACGTGCCCCGTCCGCGCCCTTGGCAGCAATGCAGCATCAAGCGATAGCGCAGCAGCACTTCCGCATTGCCTGCACTGGCCAGAATGCCTGGCCTGGGCTGCCTCACTTCTTTTATGGAAGTGGAAGCCTGCCTGTGGCCTGGCTGGAAGCTTCCAGTAGCTTTTGGTTGGGCCTCAGACGCTGCGCCCAGGCCCAAGACTACGGTTGAGCGTCTGGGCCCTTTTCAGTTGGGAATGGCCTGAGTCTCCGGACTTGGGCTGTTTGCTGCATCTGTGCAGGGCTCCCAGGCAGGTGCGTAGGCAGTACTGCTTTTCCAAATGTATCGGCCCTGCTTGGTGTGTATGTGCCCAGGCGCAACTGTCATGGCCTGGGCCAACTGTATGACGCAGCTTAGTGAGGCTCACACGTCTACCCAACCAACTGGCGTGCTGCGAGAGCCTGAATACCCACATATGGAAATGTCGAATTTTGGCCTCTGACGAATATTCAGGCCCGCCTTCNCGTCTACCCAACCAACTGGCGTGCTGCGAGAGCCTGAATACCCACATATGGAAATGTCGAATTTTGGCCTCTGACGAATATTCAGGCCCGCCTTCACTTAGGGCCGGCACTCGGCTTGCTGGGGCCTTAGCCCAGAACATGTGATGTCTGATAGGGCCCCTTGAGGGCTTGTTCCTCACAAGTGATTTCTCACTTTCAACTGCATACTGTGATGACTATCTGGGATGCCACTGATCAGGACTGGATCTACCTTGTCTTCACCGAAGAAAATAAGGACCGGGCGCATTGTATACAAATGTGACGCCTGCCAGGCGTTATAATAACGCCTGGGCATTCATTATATTCAGTACATCGGTAGCAACTTCAATGAGCAACCCCCGCCCACAAACACCCCCCTCCCCTCCCCCGCCCCCCACGAAAAAAAAAAAGTCTGTGAGAAAAAGTTGTTGTGTAGAATTGCAATTCAAACAACTTTTTTTTTTACTTTTTTTTTTGAAAAGGGGGTCTTTTCCAGGCTTTCATTATGCTCAATCAAATATGAGGCCGGGAATCCCTCAACAATCAACCCGGAAAACACAGAAAATCCAAAGTCTGGGAGCATTACCCAGTTTAGCTTCAGGCGTTGGGAACTTTCCTAGGAACAGAATGGCCAACTCTAGACCGCTGTCCTGATGTTCCACAACCCTGGGAAAAAGAAACAATGCCACCAAGGCCTACAAAGCCACACAATGCCTAAAAAAAAAAATCACTCCAACCTCCCACAGATAAAAAGAAGAAAGGAAAGGCAAAGGAATCTACCGTGCCACCAAGGCCTACAAGGTCACTCAATTCTGAAGGAAACTTCAAAATTTTGGCTGGGGGTCACTTCAGAATTCCTTGTTAATTCGGAAAAAAAAAAAAAAAAACTAAAGCATACCAAATTTGAGACCAAAACCCCCTTGAAAATTTCAATCCTGTTTAAACCTCGCATATGCCCCCCTTCCCCCTCTACATTGACTCTACAATCCATTCTGCCCATACCACATTCAAATACAACGCCCAGTCGTTCTATTTGAATATAACGCCACATTCAAATACAATGCCCGGCCGTTCTATTTGAATATAATGCTAAGTGTTAAATTCAAAGAGGCATTACATTCGAAGAAAACCGTGAGCAATCTGGCTTTTCAAAGGTAAGTTAAATATAACGCCCAGGCATTATTTTCGGGAATACCGTGAGCAATCTGGCTTTTTCAAAGGTAAGTTAAATATAACGCCCAGGCATTATTTTCGGGGTAAAGACAGTAGTCACAGTGATCTGTGAGGCTGCCGGAAACATTTCAGAGATTAACAGTGACAAGTATTGCCTGTCACAGTTTCGGCTACTACAAAGGGACAGGGAGGAGAAAGGAGGAAGAGGGCATAAAAAGGGAATGGGAGTTGTTCAAGCAAAAGGAAAGCGACGGACACCAAGAGAGAGATTTGACGGACTGGTTCACGGACAGAGACCGGAAGACAGATGCAGAGACCGAAAGACAGACGGACAGGCAACCTGGCCCTTCACCACTTCAGGATTCTTCGGGATTTTCAACCCAGATGGACAGACACATAGACAGAAAGACATACAGACTTATGGACAAACAGGACACGAGACGGATCAAGGGACGGAGGAATGGTTAGGCAGACAGACAGACGGCCGAATGAACGGACGCAAAGAAACCGGCGGATGGAGACAAATGATCAGCCAGACGGTCAGCCAGGCAGACAGCCAAACATACAGACAGACGGCCAAACAGACAGTTTAGGCAAAGCCATCTCCCATGTCCCAAGTCAGAAAACAAACTCCGTTTTCAGACGGGCAGAGAGGCAGACAGACCACAATAGACAGATTGTGCTGTCTGCGAACAGAATCAGGTCACGCTTGATCTTATCCAAAACGAATTCCAATTCGTTTGTTGTGTCGAACAGTTCGAGTCTACAACTTCACATCGACAGGAATGACTCAATTCTGCATGTCTGCAACTGCTGACCTAACCTGATTCTGTGCACAGAAGGCGCGGTCTGTCTATGAACAAGCACATGAGGGTGATCCCAGGCGGTGCATACATCCTTTTACTGTTTTACTGTTTTACAGGGAAAAGAGCACTAGCCACAGACGACACAGACGAAAGAGCGCACCTCAGAGAGCACAGCTCAGACAGGTAGAGCACAGCTGACACACACAAGGCACAGACAAAAAGGGACTCGATAAACTTAACACAGACAAAGCCAGWCCAAAGAGACCAACTCAGAAAGGCATTTTCACACTAGGACCTTTTCCACATAGCTCTGGAAGAGCGCACCTCAGAGAGCACAGGGAGAGCGCAGCTGACACACACAAGGCACAGACAAAAAGGGACTCGATAAACTTAACACAGACAAAGCCAGGCCAAAGAGAACAACTCAGAAAGGCATTTTCACACTAGGACCTTTTCCACGTAGCTCTGGACACACTTGCGGTTGGATACACCCATGGCGGGCCTCGATTGCAGTTAAAGATACATCCAGAAAAGTCCCTAGTGTGAGTACGCCCTCAGGTGAAAAAGGCACACACACCTCAGAGACGATTCAGACAAACAGAGCACGACTCACTCGTACATTACAATTTACAAGCCAAATAAAACTTGCACAGACAAGTCAGACAAAGGAGCGTAACTCAGGAGCAAGTAGAGTGTGAAACGGGAAACCGGAAAAAAATAAATAAAAATAAAAATGTTTAACACCCTTCACAAGGGCTTATAGAGAAAGGAAATAAAAGAAAACAAAGGGAGAAAAAGGCTAGCGTAGCCAAAGATAGCCATAAGGTACACCGCTCAAATTATACAAAAATATTTTAAAATACAAATACGTTTATAGAGAAAATTTCAACAAAGAATCAGGGACTCAATTGATTTAAATTAGATTTGAATTTCACTGATTTTCCCTTTACCTGTATCAAGCTGGTTCAATGTAGCGCCACAAGTCTCTGCTCCGTGGATTCTGTGGGTCACATTGCACAAGGGCGACCTTCGCTACCCACCTCTCCCCATTGGCTGTGTTGTCATTTCTTTTCACCTCAACTCCCAAGCAGAGCCGTGGATCGCCGCTGCTACTGATTTGCATCCAGCCTCCGTTCTTGTAGTAGTCTGACGTCAGTCGATGAATCCACAGGCTTGCCGCCTCTGGGCCACACAACGAGAGGCTTGGTCGAAGCAGGGAAGTCGACACCATCTCTGTCAGAAACGAGCCTGAGCCTGAGTTCGTTCGATTCTCATCGATCTGTGGGGCAGACGGATACAAAACACCTGAGATGGAATCGAGACCTTGAGGAAGACAGTCTTCTTCTACCTCAGGTGATGTATTTGGTGTGCTATCTCCAACACTTGCATTTACAGCGGAATCAGGCGGATTAACACCTGGCGCACTCGCATTGAGTTTCCCTCTGCTATGCCCTTCACAATGCGAAGGATCATCCGCATTATCGACATTTGTTCCCTCCGCTCCCGCACTAGGTGTTTTCCCGCCCCTAAGCAGGGGTCGATGGGAAGGGACGACACCCTGACAGTGCTGCTGCTGCTGCTGCTGCTGCCATGTGAGGCCAGCATCACTAACATCGGTGTCGGCGAAGCATCTTCCAAGTGAGATTGGGGTCATTCCCACCTGCTGTGCAGCATGGTGTGCCTTCTGTAACAATGAAATGGTCTTCCGTCCTGCGCGAGGGATGCCCTGCCGAAGCAGATCTATGACGACCCACTGGATGCATGTTTTGCTAGCATCATTCGAGAGTGGATCTCCATGAGGGAACGTCCAGGACCAGGACTGATCAGTGGAACCGGTGCAAGTTATGGGCACCAACGAACTGGAATTGCATGTGGGACATGCCACTCCATCCACAAACCTTTGTAGGCATAACCCGCCGACATTGCTCTGTATGAATTTGGAGGTAATGGGAATGGGAGCAGGCTGCATGGGCACAGACAATGGGTTGTTCTTGTGAGCACCCATGCGCTTATCTTGGTTGAAAGTGTGCACGGGAGGTCGTTTATCTTGATCATCGGGGATAAGATATGGCTTATAGGGCCAGGAATCAACAGCTGGGATGATGTAAGAAGCGATAAGTAGGATGATCAACAAGGTGAGTGTTGGACATGCAATCTTGTCCTGGAATTTGAAGTCCACCTGGATGGTCTTAGCTTTGGGCTTGGATGGAGCAGCATCCACCCCATAACGGGCATGCTCCATGATTAGGCGAACCATGCTGTCGAAAGAATTGATGCACCAATTGCACCCCACAACCTCCCTCACTCACTCTCCGTGAGCAGCTACCTGGTCTGATGCTACCTCCCGCAACACTGAATATGGGATGACACCTCTCAGAAACTTCCGATAGATGCCGCGGCTCAGAAGATCAAATACAATATGCAATCCACTCCGCAGTCATAATGCCTTCTTCCTCCCTGATCTCTCTCTCTCTCTCTCTCTCTCTCTCTCTCTCTCTCTGTGTGTGTGTGTGTGTGTGTGTGTGTGTGTGTGTGTGTGTGTGTGTGTGTGAGTATCTTTGTCTCTATTCAACAGTTAAAAAGGAAACATCCCTTTTTGTTGCAGTGTCTGTCAGGCCTACATTCCACAGCAAGTGAGCAGTCCTGCGCCAGAGTGGACAGCAAGCTTGGCCACTTGCTGCACCGAAAGAGACTGGTGCTCAGCAAATTACAGGTATAACGGCTACTACAACCGCACATGTACCACTACTCGCTGATTACATTATCTTCCCACCAGCAAGATATAAACCTCGACAGATAAGGAACAACCTCCTTTTGGAAAAAAAAAGAAAAAACAAAAAAAAACCCTCTTCTTACAAGCTTGAACCCAGGAAACTGCAGGCCAAAACGGACAGCTCTGCCCAGTTTGCCGGTGGGCCCCTTGCTACTTGCAAATGAATCTGAAAAAAAAAAAGACTTAAAAGAGTTAAACGTTGAAACAAATATCGGTTAGTAGAAGGGAAGTCTAAAACAGAAACGTCGAATTAATTAAAAAAAAAAACGAGGTCATCGTAGATGGCAGAAGTCGGAGAATTCCGTTTTCTGCTTGTAAAACCGAGGTCTGCACAACTGAAAGTAAGGGGGTGAACTGAGTTAAAAAATGTCGACAGTAGTGCCGTTAGTGAGCATAAAAAATGTCGACAGTAGTGCCGTTAGTGAGCATGCACTGAACGGCTCTTAACTGTACAGAGGCATCGGCAGATGGTCACGAAGTCATGGCATCTGCCCATTCCTTACCTTCTACCCAGCCTGTGAATTCTCCTCAGACAATGGACTGTGTGTTTCGAATAATGAATGAAAATCAACGAATGTATGCAAGTTGAATCGTCAAACCCAGTCAGGACTTATCTCAATTCGCATCGGATGTGCAGCGTGTAGGGGATGCATAAAGAGGGGCATTGCTCGCATGGCACTCTTTGGTGCTGTGTGAGCTTCGATAAAATCCGCTGTATCTGCAGATTCTGCAGTGTACAGAGCTGTGTTCTGATGAGCTGTACTTCACTCACCCACACTTTACCGGTCTGGATTTCCCTATCCTTTATTTTGCTGATGCAGCTGTTCTCTATTCTGCTTGCTGAACCCCCTACCGTACTAATCTGTATTGTTCGGACTCCAGAACAATTACTTTTCGGAGAGTCGTAGTCTACCGTGCTGTTCTGTTTACTCAGCTGTTCTCTGTTCTGTTCTGTTCTGTTCCATGCTGAGCTCAGCGGTACTGTAGATGGGCTTGTAGCCTTGTAGCGTTAGTAAATTTCCTTTCGTAAAAATCAGAACAGACGACACAGTAAAAAATAAAATTAGAAGAACAGATGATGGTACAGTCGGAAGGTGCGGGTTTAGCTGAAGAAAGACTGCCGAAAGCGGCGACACCACTTTGGCGCTGAGTTAATTGTCAGCAGAATATTGGTTCCTTTATCCGTGGAAATGTGCACGGAAGCTGGGAGGGTGTAACGAACTTCAGGAGAGACAATACACACACACACACACACACACACACACACACACACACACACACACACACACACACACACACACACACTGATGCTTTAGTCTGAGGGGTGTCTCTTGTCTGAGGGACTACTCACACGAGCACTTTTTCCCACTGATCTCCGAACGTAATTGCCGTCAGAGTCAGTCAGACACATCGACGACCAGCCACAATTGTCATCAGATAAATCCAGTGAAGGTCTTACTGCGAGTTATTGCTCTGAAGGTGATGGGAAAATAATTCAAAAATCCCTTAGACAAAAGCATCCCTCAGACACAAGCATCAATGGTTATTATCAGATTTCTTTTCAAAAAGGGTGTCGGCCTTGAAATATCATAAATTAATAATTGAACTGACCGGCCCTATTAGGTAACTCAGAAGCACGTTCCTTTGTTAATCTGACTACATCTCGATTCAAACTTGGGGGGTCTGTATTTCATCATCAGGTAATGGGTCTATCAACTGAGCCAGGCCCGGTGGTATGGTTATTATAAGCCTGTCCTTGGGAAAAAAAAAAAACACAAAACACACAAAAAAAAGAGAGCGATCAGCCGCCAAGTCTTGTTGGAGTACGGCCACTACTTTCAATCCTTACCTGACAATTGATAACTCCAATCGGTGCGCTACCTCATCTATGCAGAACGGAATCAGATAAGAGCGTGAGCATCGATGCTCGACTTGGTGCCGATTGGTCATTGCTGGTACAGGTCAGCTGCTGGGTATCAGGCTGTTACAGCCAGAACACTGTCACATTTGCACTGGTGAAGGATCCTGGGTGTTATGGTTGAGATCACCGGTTCGGTTCTGTGTGGCTGCGAATGGACGCTGGCAAATATACTGCACAGCTGCTGGGATCAATCCTCTATGAAGTGCAAGGCATATGCGACGAACGACTTTGTCGTACAGAAAATGTCACTTGAATATGAATTGACGTTGCCTTGGATTCCAGCGGACGCCTTTGGCAATTGGCTTTGTCGACGTAATCATTGATAAAACATATCAAGAACAGGATCTGACTAGTTGCCTCAGTGATAGCTGTCGGTGACCAACCTGACAGCAACCTGTCAGAGACTTCCGTAAAGTGACGTTTAAGTAAGTTATACACTACAATGGCAATCCGAAATACAAAAATCCAGACCCTAGGAACACAGACCAGGCCCTCGCTATCCTGGGACAGGTGACCATCCTGGGTGGATAAGTCACTAAGGATAAGTCTCTAGGGTGTCAAAAGCGATAACTCAAGACTCTAGAGTCTAGAGTAGGGAATCAGTCCGCAAGGCAAGTACAAGAGTACGGAGTCGCAGACTGCCACCTATCAATTCAACAGCTTCAATCTGCTTCTGAGAAAAAAATAGAATATGCTGATTGCTACTACCTGGATGCTTGAATACTGTACAAGGACGCCAATGAAAGAATGACAAGTTGACAGCTGTTGCCGTAGCCACTGATTACTGCTGCGAGTCACACAGTATGGAACAATCCTATCGAGTCTAACTTCAATTGTTCGCCAATGGCAAACAATACCACGTGCCATAAATTTTCCATGTGGTATTGTGTGTGTGGTGTGTGTGTTGTAGATTGTCACCACAACGGCTGCTCTTCCACCCAGATGAGTGTGTGTGTGTGTGTGTGTGTGTGTGTGTGTGTGTGTGTGTGTGTGTGTGTGTGTGTG